GTATCTGTATCTGTATCTGTATCTGTATCTGTATCTGTATCTGTATCTGTATCGTTTTTCTTATAGATACCTCAAAGTACAATTGCAGGCGATAAAGTTGACGACAATTATGACAGTACCATTCCAAGCCGGTGCCGGAACTGGAACCGGAGCCGGCATTTCGACCCAAACCTGAGTCAGAGCCCAAGCCCAAACCGAAGCCGAAGCTGGAAAAGTTTGTGTCAAAGTTGTTTGAGCTGCTGCGTCGTAACTCACGCGCCAGCTCCCGTGGGACGGCGGCGCAGGTGGCGTGATAGGGCCGGGCGCAGGGACCGGCGCACACGACATAGTCCTCCTCGCCGGCAGTAAAATCAATCCAGCAGCGACGACAGAACATGGCTGCTAATAATTTTATCGGGCAGACAGACAAACACTTAAGAAAATTACAAAAAGCGACGCGAACGCCTTGCGAAAGGAGTAAAGGCGGCGGCAGCTCAGCTCAGCTCAGCTCAGCTCAGCTCAGGTGTTGACAGGTGCACGGGCGGCGCGGCACTGAGCTGAGAACTTTAACTGGAACCCAAATGCAGCCAAGGAAAAAACTTTTGCCAGCCAAGAAAATGAATGTGAAGGCTGCTGCTGCAGCTGCTTTGGCCTCAGCTTTATCTTCTGCTTCTGCATCTGCTTTGCTGGGGCCTTTGGGGCATTGCTTTGAAATTGAAAGGCCAATCATAGTGAATGAAGGCAGTTGGTTAGTGTGCATAATATGCCACATTCACCTGTCCTCCCGCACGCGCCCTCTCATAATCTCTGCGCGCCCCATGAAGTATGCAAGAGGTTCGCAGCAGTGCAAGAGGTGTACCTGGACTCAAACTGATATTATGCTCGGTTAAGTGAGCATGAAGCGAAAGAGCGAGTGAGAAGCAGGAATTGACAGACTTATTGATATATAAAGAGAGTGAGAGGCAGAGAGAGAGATATAAGTAAAGCTAAGTAGAAGATTAAAGAGATCGAATGCGAGTCAAAGTAAGATATTGATGCAACGAAAGAGTAGAGCATGCTGATAGAGGGAAAGAGAGAGCAAGAGAGACAGACAACGAGAAAGAGATAGCGATTCGATAGATAAAGGAGCATAGAGGGAAATATAGATTTACAAAGATTATGCGACAGAGACAGAGATATATTAAAAATGAAAAGATGATGAAAGATATAAAGACAGAGCAAGAGAAACACAGAGATGCAAGGAATGAGAGTGAGAAAGAAAGCGAGATTTCGAAATGAAGCTTAGATTGAAAGAGAGGTATATAGAGTGCATAGATAAGAGCTACTCAAAGAGAGTCAACGAGAGAGAGAGAGAGAGAGAGAGAGAGAGATAGAAGATTACATCATAAGTCTTCAAGAAACTTTTCGCTTCCGATTCGCTTAATACAAAGTAAGATTACTGACAGCAAACCCAAACCACTCCACACCACAAGATGGCTAGCTTAGCAGCTCCATGACAGTCCAATTACAGGGTATGTGGCAAGTCAGTGCAATGGCCGAGGGCGATGAGTCATCGTTGAATCGTCGAGGCAGCTGCCTCATTGGCCTGGCCAAGCAGCTGCTCTGATTGCCAAGTTAGTTGGCTTTGATGTGAGCCCATAAAAAATGCATAACCAAAGCGAACAAGCAGAGGCAGAGGCAGAGGCAGAGGCAGAGCCAAAGGCAGAGACAGAGACAGAGGTGGAGGCAGTGCTAAGCAGCCAGCCGTTGGCTGCTGGCACGTGGCCACAATACAGCGTGCACCTGCAACGAGCAGCGCCTACACCTGCCGCCCCCCTCCCCCCTCCGTCTCCACTCGTCGCCGTCGTCGTTGGCGTCTGCTGCTTCAAGTAAATATCATAAATTTTAAAGGCGGCGTTAATGCGGCTCGTTTCAGTTTCAGTTTCGGTTTCAGTTTCGTAACATTGCACGCTGCAAGCACAGCCTTGGTGGCACAGCCACAGCTACAGCTATAGCTAGTGCACCACATTGCCGCATAACCGCAGGCACTTTGGCAACGCGCCCAGGCCCCATCATCCATCCGGCCGAACCGAGCCACATGCACAAAAGACACCAAATGCAAAAGCCCAACGCGGGCCACGACTTTGCTCAGCCACTGTCTGTGGCCACATGTTGCCACATGCCACATTTGCTTTGACACACTTTGTTCATGTATGTGCGTGTGTGTGTGTGTGTGTGTGTGTGTGTGTGTGTGTGCTGGCCAGGAAATATAAACTGGCTGGCTTGGCTCTAGCTCTGCCTCTGTTGCCCCTACCCTCGTTACCTTACTTCCTATATCTCTATCTCTCTCTGGCTCCCTCTCTCTCTCACTCACTCTTTTTCTCTGTGGCTTCTTCTCCTCCTTCAGCCTGTGACATTTCTTGCTTTGTAGCATATTGCGCTGATTGCAGCATCCAAACTAAACAGAAACCTGACAAAAGCTTAGCTGTACGCGGCTCTCTGTCTATGTGTGTGTGTGTTTAGTTGTGTCTGTGTACGTGTGGGTGCATTGCATTGACAGCATTGCGAAACGCCATTTGGTAGCCTTCAAAACTGCGCTAGACTCTCTGACATTTACACCAATTTGCCGCAGTCTGGCAACTCTGCAAAACAGAGCTGCCAACAATCAACTAGCCGTGTCGAAACTTTTCACAAATCTTACAATATTTGTCAAGCCAAAGACTGAGAAGAGTTGCTCCAAACAGCTTTAAGCTCAACTCTTTAATGTTCTTGCTAAAGTTCATGTTAAATTCGCATGTTACCTTACGTACAGCAAAGTCTGGTAGTTGTCCCCATGCTTAATATTAACTGATATTGAGTTTATGTAGCATAGTGAGTAGTAAATCCCGCCAGTCAGTTAAGTCTCTTACACTTGCCTGTAATCAATTTGGCATTTACAAGTTCAAGTGCCTGTCAAATGCTTTGTAGCTGACAGCAACTAAGCCAATCTCTAGCTGTCTTTACTTGTAAAGTTTTTAGCCTGCGCTTAGCTTGCCTAAGCCTCGACAGCTTCAGCTGCAAGTGCTGCAGGCGAGCTTCATTGTATTACACGCTTTTTACAGGGTATATTGCTGCTGTAAAAGTGAATGTAAAAGCCAAAAGGACGAACCTGTTGCCTTCAAAGATCTATCTCTATCTCTATCTCTATCTCTATCTCTATCTCTATCTCTATCTCTATC